ATATCCAGTTAGAGTGACATATCTCTCTTTGTAGATAAAGCTAATTATCAGTTCCAAATTTAGATTGAACCTGTTTTTCGAATTGATTTATAAATGTTATTCTGTTCACGTCATCGTATTTTTACTCATTGCAAGGTGTCAGCTAACATAAGTATTATTTTTAATTAAAAAGAGTAACCAAAACTACCAAAAACTTCAGACTCATGGTGGTTCATACCCCTACAAATTAATGTAATTTTAATAACAATGTAATCTTTAAGAATGCATTTTATTAATAAAAAAGTACTTTACTTATTTCATATGTTTAAAACATAGCAAAAGGGGTCTAGGGCTCTATAAAGGTTCTCGATGTTCCTGGTTAGAAAATTCTTCTGATGATAGTGTAAACATCTACATTTAAGTTTGTTTCTTATTATAATTTTCTATATATTTATTCAAATATTTTTAACTCGTTACGTTCTATATCGAAGAGTTTCATCACAAATAATTATTTTAAAATTACCGATATGAAAGAAACATTAAAGCTTTTATTATCTTTAAAAGCGTCTCATAAAATTTATTATCTTACACATTTACTATTTTTCTGGTAATTTTATTTTATATTCGTTTTATTTTGCTGAAAATCTAATTTTAATTTCGAAAATATATTAAAATTTTAGCTACTTTTTAATTAGCGAAAAACATTCATTATGTTGTTAATTTTCGTTTGAGTTTTTTAATTATGTTTTTTTTTTTTACTTCGGATTATCTCTTTTATATTGCGTTGTTGAAAAGTTTATTAATTCTTCTTCTTCTCCTTCTTCTTTTTTTTTTGTAATTAACGTAAAGAAGTAATTGGAACAATGCCAGTAACCAATGTATATCGGAGCACACACATTATCGAAAGTCACGGGTCAATAAAATTTATTGCTGAGAAAAGAGTTATTTTTACATTTAAACATCAAAAGCGATTATATATAATCGTTTATATTGTATAATTGTAAATTTAATTAATTTTTGACCATAATTAATATCAATAATCACCGTAAGAATGATAAATATGAATGTCATCGTTGATTTGATTCTATATAAAGATGCCATAATGTAATTTTCCGATAATATTTTTTTTTTTTTATTNCAGTATCAAAATTACATCGCTTTTGTTAAAAACTTACCTTTTGCAACTGAACCAGAAGTACATGGAATGGATGCAAATGCAAACATTATTAAAGATCAGAATGAAACAAAATTATTCTTTAATACCATTATATCAACTCAAGTAACTATTATTTTTATTGTTTTTAATGATTAATACAATGTAATTAATGCAGTCAAAATACTAAATTGTACAATTTTTTTTTTATAAAATTGATTTTTAAATTAAATTTCAATTTTAACAAATTTCAAGTAATAAAATAGTTTTAATTAAATTTCTTTTCTCTTATTTTATCACATAAATTGTCTCATTGTAACACTATTGAAATTCCAGTTAGAATACTGTAATTTCAGTAATTAAGTTATAAACAATATGTTAAAATAAAATTATTAATGTATAATGGGCTTCCTCGTCTAGCATATTTACTTGTTATGATCGTCTTCTGTTTTTATATAATAGTTAATCTAATATATGGTTGTTTATAAGCACACAAGTATATTAATTAATATTTACTATTTCTTTTTAATTTTTCAAATAGGCTCAAATTGGAACAGGAACTGATCAATCATCAGAAGAGGTTGTTTTAAAAATTGCTAATGACATTCTTATAAAATTACCAAATAATTTTGATATTCATTTGGCTTTACTGAAGTATCCTGTAAGTTATGAACAGAGCATGAATACAGTTCTAGTTCAGGAAATGGAAAAATTTAATGTGCTGCTAAGTGTAATTAGAGATTCATTAATTGAAGTTCAGAAAGCTATTAAAGTATGTTGCTAAACTTAATATTTATAATAAGTTATGTACTTAAATAACTACTTTATTTTTTTTGTTCATTTTATATTTGCAATATTTCTTAAATTTTATTGTTTTCTTGAAGTATCAAAATTTATTATTGCATTGAAGAAGTAAATATTTATACTACTAGGTATTGTAGTCGTTGGGCTTCAATTTTCTAATTGCAGACCTATAAATTCCCACTGCGTCCGTCTGTCTGTCTATCCTTCCTTAATCTCGATAACGAAGTTAGATAGATAAAAGTTGAGACTAGATATAGAGTGTTTAGGGGCAGGAGAGACAGATTAACTATGTATGAAGTTTCGGTCTAGACCGGAAGTAGTGTGATTTCAATTCAAAAATTTCTCTAGAATGGAGTTAGATAAATGACCATCATTACTCAATTGTTTTCAAGAAAAGTATGATGTACAGGAGTAAGACATTATATATAATAATAGTTTATAGTTTACACATATATAACATAAGTGTTTACTTTATAAAAGTGGACATGATCTATAGTCTATTCTGAAAAATTTCGCTGGTTTTCTTGATTATATGCATTGTATTTTCATTTAAAAACATGTTAATAGATTAGAAAAATTTGCATTTGTTTTTGAAATAAATCGTCTTAATAAACGGTATATTTCGGTTAAAACATCAAATTAACTATCACCATACACATAAAGAAAATTATATAGGCTAATTTATTAATAAAGAAATCTGTTGTAGCTGAATTTTCTATCTGGGCTTAGCTCAAATAAACAAAACGATCTATTTTAATTACTATAATATTACTTATATTATTAATTTGCAAATCATGCAAACAACTCGATGTATACAATGTCCGGATACAGATTTCTTATGGTGTTCTTGAATACTGAGGGAAAAAAACATTACAAAATTATATTTCCTTATTCTCAATTATAGAATTTTCAGTAGATTTAGTATTTTTAGACATTGAAAAACGGCTATTAAACGGAAATGGTAGTGAAAATATAAAAGTAATATGAGTTTTTTTTTTCAGATTTATTGATTATCGGTTAAAGTTTATTTGTTTGAAAAATGTCATATAAAAGAAGTGAAATAAATCATTTTAGAAGGAAGAAGCTTCGAGTACAGTGTTCTGACATTTTGAAAAACTTTTGCTGGATATAAATTAAAGATTAAACAATTATATATCTTATAATTAATTTTTAGTAAGTTGATGAATGGCGGATACAGAACTATAAAGTTCTGTATCCATTCATCAACTTGCTGTTGTAGTAAAGTGAATTCTTTGAGAAGTTATAAAAAAATTCATTGGTCGAAAAGGATGATTTCAATACGTATTTAACTCGGTCCAATGTGTATTTTACATAAACGTACTTGAAAACTGATAAAATTCATTATGAAATTATTATAAATTTCCATTTTAAAATCATTGATTTATGTATTATTTTTAATTAATTAGAGTAACTTAAGTATTAAATTAATTGTAGTTTTGTCGAATACATTGCATAATTTTTACAGTACATTAAAGTTATAAAGTTATACAGTACATTAGTATAGTAATTACAGTTTACACAGTACTGTACATACTTTTTAAAATATCATACGGTTATTCTATTAAAAGATTCTAATAAATTATTTTCTTTTATAAATATTAAAATAATTTATTAATATTATCTCATTCGTCTTATCATCTTCTCATCTTATCCATTAATAATCTTATGTCATACTTGAATGATTCCTATTACTTCTTTGGCACTTATTAATACAAAAATAAATGTAATGTCTAACGTAAGATGAATCTGTCATTTGAATTCTGTCTGAATTTCTGTTGAATTGAATCTGTCATTTATCATGAATCTTTGAGAGTATCGATTAAATTACTAATTCATTTTTCTATGACATATGTAATTTTATTATTCGTCATTCTAGAATTTTATATGGTATTTTATTTTATTTTCATAGAATTATTTTAAAGAATGGAAATATTATATAATTTGACATAATCACTGTTTTATTCAAATTTAAAATATGCTGTTCTCTTAGTTAAGAGAATATTTTGAGTTTAAATAGTTTTAAATCTGTTTTACGGGAATTAAATCCTTTAAAATAGTAAATAGAATAATCATCCACTATCGACTCATTGTCTGATGATGAACGGATTGTTAGAAACAGATCTACCAAGGGGAAAGATGGGGATGTTTTTCTAGGCCTGGAGAAAGCTTAGGCACTCATGGTGGTTCATACCCCTACAAATTAATGTAATTTTAATAACAATGTAATCTTTAAGAATGCATTTTATTAATAAAGAAATCTGTTGTAGCTGAATTTTCTATCTGGGCTTAGCTCAAATAAACAAAACGATCTATTTTAATTACTATAATATTACTTATATTATTAATTTGCAAATCATGCAAACAACTCGATGTATACAATGTCCGGATACAGATTTCTTATGGTGTTCTTGAATACTGAGGGAAAAAAACATTACAAAATTATATTTCCTTATTCTCAATTATAGAATTTTCAGTAGATTTAGTATTTTTAGACATTGAAAAACGGCTATTAAACGGAAATGGTAGTGAAAATATAAAAGTAATATGAGTTTTTTTTTTTCAGATTTATTGATTATCGGTTAAAGTTTATTTGTTTGAAAAATGTCATATAAAAGAAGTGAAATAAATCATTTTAGAAGGAAGAAGCTTCGAGTACAGTGTTCTGACATTTTGAAAAACTTTTGCTGGATATAAATTAAAGATTAAACAATTATATATCTTATAATTAATTTTTAGTAAGTTGATGAATGGCGGATACAGAACTATAAAGTTCTGTATCCATTCATCAACTTGCTGTTGTAGTAAAGTGAATTCTTTGAGAAGTTATAAAAAAATTCATTGGTCGAAAAGGATGATTTCAATACGTATTTAACTCGGTCCAATGTGTATTTTACATAAACGTACTTGAAAACTGATAAAATTCATTATGAAATTATTATAAATTTCCATTTTAAAATCATTGATTTATGTATTATTTTTAATTAATTAGAGTAACTTAAGTATTAAATTAATTGTAGTTTTGTCGAATACATTGCATAATTTTTACAGTACATTAAAGTTATAAAGTTATACAGTACATTAGTATAGTAATTACAGTTTACACAGTACTGTACATACTTTTTAAAATATCATACGGTTATTCTATTAAAAGATTCTAATAAATTATTTTCTTTTATAAATATTAAAATAATTTATTAATATTATCTCATTCGTCTTATCATCTTCTCATCTTATCCATTAATAATCTTATGTCATACTTGAATGATTCCTATTACTTCTTTGGCACTTATTAATACAAAAATAAATGTAATGTCTAACGTAAGATGAATCTGTCATTTGAATTCTGTCTGAATTTCTGTTGAATTGAATCTGTCATTTATCATGAATCTTTGAGAGTATCGATTAAATTACTAATTCATTTTTCTATGACATATGTAATTTTATTATTCGTCATTCTAGAATTTTATATGGTATTTTATTTTATTTTCATAGAATTATTTTAAAGAATGGAAATATTATATAATTTGACATAATCACTGTTTTATTCAAATTTAAAATATGCTGTTCTCTTAGTTAAGAGAATATTTTGAGTTTAAATAGTTTTAAATCTGTTTTACGGGAATTAAATCCTTTAAAATAGTAAATAGAATAATCATCCACTATCGACTCATTGTCTGATGATGAACGGATTGTTAGAAACAGATCTACCAAGGGGAAAGATGGGGATGTTTTTCTAGGCCTGGAGAAAGCTTAGGCACTCATGGTGGTTCATACCCCTACAAATTAATGTAATTTTAATAACAATGTAATCTTTAAGAATGCATTTTATTAATAAAAAAGTACTTTACTTATTTCATATGTTTAAAACATGGCAAAAGGGGTCTAGGGCTCTATAAAGGTTCTCGATGTTCCTGGTTAGAAAATTCTTCTGATGATAGTGTAAACATCTACATTTAAGTTTGTTTCTTATTATAAGTTTCTATATATTTATTCAAATATTTTTAACTCGTTACGTTCTATATCGAAGAGTTTCATCACAAATAATTATTTTAAAATTACCGATATGAAAGAAACATTAAAGCTTTTATTATCTTTAAAAGCGTCTCATAAAATTTATTATCTTACACATTTACTATTTTTCTGGTAATTTTATTTTATATTCGTTTTATTTTGCTGAAAATCTAATTTTAATTTCGAAAATATATTAAAATTTTAGCTACTTTTTAATTAGCGAAAAACA